ACTTTGAGACGCGTACTGCCAGGCGGTTTTTAAGCGGATGTCCTTTGCCGTGTCTGGATAATCAAAAATTGAGCGGATGTTGTCGTTTCTATAGCAATTCCTTCGATCCCGCATTGCCATTGTGTGTGAAATAGCTTTATTCAACGTCCGCTTCCACCGAAGTGACAAGAGCATTGCCGTTAGGCAAATGAAATTTAAATGTTACTCACGCACATCATTCTGCGTGAGTAAATACATGTACTCGCCTCACCCGCGCAAGTCTATATTTGCGTGAGTAGTCATCTACTCGCCTCCAATTTGCTCGTGGCAAGCCCTGGACAATCAAATACCTGAATAGTAAAAGCTATTTAAAAGATTTCGTGGAATTACTGTATCACTGGTTGTGAACATCAGAATTTGTTCATAATCAATGTGCCCTAAACAGAAATACCTATTGATTAACATGAAGTGTTGTAAACAAACTAAAATAGAAACAAAATGCTATTATTAGACTGTAGGGGTCATGGTACAGTATTAGAGCAGTTTAAGTATTGGATTCCAAGAACTTGCTAGGTTGTTTTTTTTCACACCACATTCCTATTTGCTGACACAGAAAGTCTGCCTTGTGTTTCGGACTGGACAAAACACCGAGGTTCTGTCCGTGATTAAATTGATGTGTACGGTATACATAAAAGAATTACTCAATCTGTTTCCCAGAGATCGTTTAATATCTCTGTAACGATGACCGTTTCGACATGTGATATCACATCACGCGGTGTCAATCATTGGCTCAATAGCGCGTGCATTGTTTACATAAGACTGCATTGTTTACATAAGACGTTACTGATTCGGGCTAAATGGTGAATTTTAATACCCATTTACACTAAATAGGAAATGATTTTTACCTACAAATAATTCAAACGTCTTTATTTTTCTAATAAATGAAAAAAAATGTTTTAGAATTTAATTTCACAGAACAAAAAAGTTAATATTGGGACTCGTTAAGTCGCATCGATGTCATCCTTATCAGTGACTGTAGCGGCCTAGCGAGAATTACTGTCTGACAGTCAAAATTATCAGCAGGAGTGCTACTCCTTTACTTTCATAACAATAGAAATAAAAATAAGCTATTTTCAGTCTCATAGAAGATATTAAATTTTTTGATGGTATTTCAGTGGAAAATTGCACAACATATAAATTTATTGTTGTTTTTTTTTTACTTTCAGGTAAAGAATCTGTGAATGTTGAGAGCGATTAAGTTAACAAAAATAAAAAAATATCAAAAACATTTATTTGTGCTTATTTATCAACCAATGGCATCATTGTAAAAGATGTCAATTTGGACAAAGGGTTGGTTGGGGGAATAATCCCTGTATTGGATGCACAAGCTTTCTATGAGGAGCCAAATCTTCAAGAAACCTCATAGAATGAAAAATTAGCACTGAATATCATGCAATATTTTAAAGAAACTTGTCTAGTCCTGGTGTTCATTAGCCTAACCCAATATCTAGAAAAAATAGAATTTTATTGGTGGTGACCATTCTGTCACTAGAAAATTTGTGTGAAAAGTTTATAAGTCTATTTCTATCTGGTCAAGTTGGATTAGCTAAACAGCTAAGGATTTCTATTAATACTTCTTCCATAAGTATGTTGTAAGCCCAAGACGTGGACTTTGGGTTATATATAGTGCAAATGGTAGGGTTGGACAATATTAATAGAATACTTCACTACTTGAACCTTAATTAAACTTTGCACCATTCAATATTTTTACAACTTGAAAAACTGTTTTAATAGTGTCAATATGCATATCGTAGCTCTGAAGACTATTTTATGTGCAACAGAGTAGTTATTTCGAGGGATTTCCCACATTGAGTCATGAATGCATTTACATGTACATGTATAGAAATCAAAGTGGTCAACCCCCTTCAAGATATTTATGGCTCTCATTTCATGTAGACGTATATTATCATCGCCCATGTCAGTCAGTCTACCGCAATTTGTTTGTGGACACTCTATAGCTCAAAATTTTTATTTTATTTTGAAACTTAAAATGTATGCTTATAACCCAAAGATCTCAGTCCTTTGGATATCGGTGCATATCGGACTGTAACTTCCTGGATTATGGCCCCTGATTGTATGAAAAATTACGTTTTTAGCTTGTTCCCTCTAGAGGTCACAATTTTCATCTGATATAAAAAAAAAAGGTATGTGACACCAAAAAGACGGTTGAGTTCGAGTTTAGTGAAAATTGCCGCTCCACGAATGCAAATATTCTAAAAGTATGTAATAGTATGCCATGTCACTGGTCAACGACATGCAAAATCTGGAGCAAAAACATGACCATTGGTTGCCCCGTAGTGATAAGCGTTCAGCCTAACTCATAGCCGGGCAAAGGGACCAAAATTAACATTTGAAGTTGAAGTTTGTCTGCCTCCTGCAGGAGTTGTTTCCCATGGACTAAACTTAAATCTTCCCCGGTGGAAGGATCTGGGTCCTGTTTCACGAAATTTTAACTAAGATAAAATCCAAATTTTAGTAATTTGATTGGATAATATTAGATTGATTTTAGTGCTTAGCCAATCAAAATTGAAGTATCTACTAAAATTTAGATTTTATCTTTAGTTAAAATTTCGTGAAACAGGGCCCAGGTCTAAAAGTTTAAGACCCACTGCATATTTGGTCATAGGTCACAAGATGTAAATGGGACTAAGACGCGATGTAAACGGGGCTAGCCCACAATCACGTGCCATAGCCCTATTTACACCTCCTGACCTATGACGAATTCTGCAGTGGTCCTTAAAGGGACAATAACACTTGCTGGCTTGACAGCCCCAGAAAATAAAAAATAGCCTTATTCTAAGTACTAGATGTGTTAGTGTCCTACCTGTTGTGTAAATTATCCATTAAATCCTATTTTACTTGTCCAGAGGGTTCAAAAATATTTTTAAATCCAAGTCACATTTGAAAAGCTTTACGTAAGACTTTTCAAATCATTTAGTTGAATTTTTCCATTTTTTTAAAATTAGGTGTGTTAAGATGAAATTTGTATCATCAATTAATTGGAATATTGTAAAATAGTGCAATTTGATGACAAGAATAAAGATTGGGACATATTATTCAGTTACATCAAGAGTGGTATTGAGAATTAAAACTGTTATCTTAACCCATGTGGAAGTGGTTGTTGAACCATTAAGTATACACAAAGAAAAAGGTTAAAACCCCCTTTATGTATTTTTCACCATATTTTATCTTACGATGTTTGGCGATGAAACCCAAAAAACATAATCTTGGGAAAACAAATGTGGTTTGCAAGAATAGATCTTTGACGATAAGAGAACATATAGTTTTTCCAGTTTTGAGATTTTAAAAATAATTCCAAAATAGGGGTCGAAATAAGTATGAAGGTACAGAGTCAGAAACACAATTCAACATCGTGATTGAAGTTAAAAAAATGTCATTTAGATTCCACAGATGACATTAATGGCACAAATCTTCAATAGTGGGTAAGAGAGGGAGAGAGAATTAGGGTTTAACGTCCACTCGACACAAACTAGGTCATTTCGGGACTAACACATGGTTCAATTTTATTTTAATAATTCTCTTGCGCGTAGGGGTCTTTAGCGGTGGGAGGACCCAGAGAAAACCCACGAGATTGGACAGGCGACCCTACTCCTTGCCACGTACAACCGGGGAATCGAAACCCCGCCAGTTGACTCAATGACAGACCGTATCATACAGCGCACGTGCTAACCATTCGGCCATCCAACCCCCCCGGGTAAACCCGCCACGTGCCCGGTGTGGCTCCGTAAGATTTTGACTTGCTAACCGGCCTCATTCTCCCTTGTCAGTAGTGCAGGACGGAGGGCATGTCAAGGACAATGTAGCTTCGTTCGAATGGGACGAAAAATCTGAGGTTCCGTGTACACATTGGGATGTACGTAAACGAAAACTTGGCAGTTGGAATTCGATATAATAGCAGGCCGTAGCGCCGCTGTCTGGGCAAACTTTCCCTCATAGCACACTGTATTGCGTATTAGAATGTCTGTCTTCATCAGCCCAGTCGGAGCAGATCAATAGGACGTTAAACCCCATTTCATTTTCAAAGGTTTTTTTTCGGAAAGTGTACCATTATAAATTTAGTTGAACAAATACCTAGAAGATCCTTTTATTTTATGCTCCCACACATTTCATGTGGACGTATAGTATCGTCTCACAGTCTCACACGTCCGTCCATTCACATTTTGTATGTGGACACTTTATAGGTCACAATTTTCATCCGACTTTGACAAAACTTGAAATATGGGTTTATATCCCAAAGATCTCGGTTCCTTTCGACATTGGCGTGTATATGACTAACTTCATTGGTTATGGCTCCTGATTTTAGCTTGTGGACCCTGTAGAGGTCACAATTTTCATCCGATTTTGATGAAACTTAAAATGTCTGTTTATAAACCAACGTTCTAGGTTCCTTTCGATATTGGCGTATATCGGACCGTAAGTTCCTGGATTATGGCTCCTGGTTGAACGAAAAATCATGTTTTTAGCTTGTGGACATTCTAGAGGTTACAATTTTTATCCTGTTTTAAAAACCGTTCAATATATCACCGTTGCACCTAATGACGGTTGAGTTTGAATTTCGTAAAAATCGGAGCGAAGCTGCCAGACAAAATTGCCGCTCCTTGTACGCAAATAGTGTAAAAGTATGTAATACCAAGGTTGCGGAGCCTCTAGGGGTAACAATTTTTATCCGATTTAGATGAAACTTAAAATATATCTTTATAACCTAAAGATCTCGGTTGCTTTCGGTATTCGCGCATATCGGACCGTAACTTCCTGGATTACGGCCCTTGATTGTACCCAAAATCGCACATTTTTAGCTTTTTTTCTAATTCTAAGGTAAAGGTTTGCACGAGTCTTATTGTTCGTGACCATAAAATGAAACAGATTTATAAATTCTTTGCAGTCTACCTCCACTGCAACATGCCTGCTGAACTGGAAACCTGAACAAAAGAAATCGATAATAATTTTAGAAAACATTTATTTCAACTTCACATACTTAAAAGACAAAATTCTAGATAAAAAAGATATTACAAACGAGAATTTGATGATGGAAAATACAGACATTTTCTTCATAAAAATTGATCGTGAAATTCAATAAACATGCTTTAAAATTATTTGTAGAAAAGACATGAATTCTACCAACATTAAAGAGATTTTTTACAAAATTTGCTGATTGATTTTTTTTTTCCCAATATTAATCAAAGCTCTAAAGTCCTCTGTAAATTAAACTTCCTTTTCTCTGTCTAAAAACAATTTTTTTTAAAGAAGTAACCTTACTGACAAGAGATGATTGATAAACAATAAAGAAGTAGTTATATTTTTTTTTTCTTCAGATCTGTTGTTTTCAAAGTGATACAAACTCTTGGTAATTTAATTATTTTTGCCTTTTAAAAATCTAATACCAAATCTCTTTAATGAATTATTAATTTATATCAACTCTTGTTCATATCTTACCCACAATCCAATCATGATCTAAATGTAATTTCAAATTGATATCTCATGTTTTTATTTTATGTTGATGATGTTAAATCCTTCAATGTCTTTAATTATGATATTCAAATGTCCAGTGGCGGATTCAGGTATAATTTTTTTTTTTGTAATATTCTGTCTGTGAAACCTATAAATTTGATCTTTTTGTTGGTTGCAGTATAGTTAGGTTGTGGCTGATGAAACTGAATGTTATGTTCATGTCCACTTGCGCCACAAATCCTCACTGACACCCCAATATGTCTAAATTTTCATGGAGGGGTGGGCCTAACCAAATATTCTGTGTTTGCCACTGCAAATGTCTTTCCATCTCGAGAGAAAGATAAGTTCACAGTAGAATTACAGGTAAACATGAGATTAGAGTCGAGTAGGAGAGATTGAATGATTGACAAATTTAAAGGAATGAAGTATAAATAAAAGGGTTGGTTTCTTTGGCAAGGATGGACTGGATTGTGTGAATTCTTTATCCCTGGCATGATACTGCAAATGGTGCTTTCTAGAGCATGGTATATCCTGATGTTTGTATTTTATGCACAAAATTAGCATGTGGCCCCATAAGCCCCTACCATACCCACAGATTCCTTCTTAATCCATGCCCTGTCTTTCAGTATTAACCCACAGAAAAACAAAATCTACTTAAATGACCACTTTGGAATCATATTTTACTGCTGTTCAACTAACTATCCCTTACCATATTTGCAAAATTTGAAATTTTATTAACTTCATTCCTTTATAAAATACTTTAATATCAGTAAAAATAATTTAGAATATGTCAAACTGAGTAACTAGTTTTATAATAAAATATATAGGCTACTAATATAACACTATTAATATTAAAAACAGTGAAACAGATTTTTAAACCATATAAAAAGCTAACATTATAAAAGGCAAACATAACATTTAACCATAGTTTTATCATTGGTGGGATTCTAGATCCCTGCAATCAAAATATTTATCAGTTTTTAGGCTTTGAATGTATAGGCTTTAGACTTACACTTACAACTGAACCTCTCAATGAATAAAAAATATAATAGGAGAAACACATGCCAACATGAATCTTAAATTATTTTTGCCGACATAATACCATGACAGCCATTATTTACAACATTTTTTCAGATACCTCATTGTATTTTGATAATTATTATAATTTTCTTAATTAATAAACATGTACCTTCTTAAAATAATTTTGTTCAGTTTTTATCCCTCCCTGTATGTCAATATGTTGATTGAAATAAATCGACTAGAATTAGAACCCCACCAGTGATATAAAGTAATTATCAATCATTGTGCTAATAGAGAAAATATGTATTAATATTTTACTCATCTGGACATTGGATGCAAGCTTACCCAAATAATGATTTTAAGCAGTGACACAATTGCCCTATTGAAGGAATTGTTGTAGATATGATCCATGATTTGGGAAGAAATTGAGCTACCATACCATAGACATTGTCTTCTGAGCATATAAATTGAAGACTTGCCCAGTTTTAATACAATCCTCAAATTGCATTTTAAGACCTATAATTCAAGTTTTATCATTTCTAATAACAGATACAAATGGTTAATGAGTATTCTTGGTCTAGTTGTTCCAAATTTTTCGATTCTATATCTATAACTCTGTATTTTATAAGATTTTTAATTAATTTTATGTAATAGTTTTTAATGGAGACATATTTACACAAACATTAACAAGAATTTACATAATCAACACTAACTACTAATAAAACAATAACAATCAACATTGTATTAATAATAGAAAAATAAATATTATCTCTAATACAATTAAGAATTGCTGATACATAATCCAAAATATTTGTCTAAATGATCTCATAGCATTCATGAGTGTTCATTATAATTGTAAACTTACTTCATAGCTTCTAATCCTATATTTTTAACAAGAATTTATAGTTTACAGGTAATAAGCTTTTGTAGCAGGGATATAAATATGTGGTGTGCTGTGTGATTGTATATCTAGGGAAACCAAGATTACTCTGTCCTGTGTGGGGAATTCCCTTTAGCGTGGGGAAATTCCCTTTAGCGCACTCAGTAGAGGTGTATGGATTGCATGCATCCCGTCACCAATTTAATCAAAGCTTTCGATTCGTTTGGGATAATCGTTGATTGTTTTTTCTCAATTAATTACTACGGTATTGACTTAGAGATAATATTCATAAATAATATTCAGATGGTCCTATATCATACAAATGAATTTGAATATAAAATGAACAGTTTGACCTGTCTACAGTTTAATAATATATTATAATTGTTATTAATAGTAATAATTATATACACATGATTATATTAGAATATAGTTCTTTTTCTTCATGATATCATACTTCCATATATTACATAGGTTCTTCTTGTAAATATTCAAATTACTAGAAACTAGATGACGAAACTTGTGCATAAATTAATTCTAAAAACATGATGTTACTATATTAAAATAATTAGATGTTTATCATTATGAATATTATGTTCCGATCATGATATAATATAAAAAGTCCTTCCTTTGACTTTTATTGATCTCTTTGAATACGACTCCTAGAAATAACCTACAATTATAGTATTTTCCTTTTCAAAAGTGAGGTTTAATTAGATGTTTAATTATGATTTTGCTACATGATGTTACTAATAATATACATGCACTATTAAGCATTTTATATATGAAAGCTAATTTGTAATTACAACATATATTTAAAAGCATTAAAATCTACACTTAAATTGACTACTTATACAAAGATTTATAATAATAGGCCTGTTTATGGATATTCATTTATAGCACAAAATAAAACACATTTTATATCGTATTTAGTATACAGTTAAAATATGAAACATGATTATATTATAATAATTACTGTAAAACTAGTAATTAATGCAATAACTTACTAACATATTGAGCTAATTATGAACTTGAACATTTACAAAAATTAATATCTCATTATTTATATATATAATAACTAACTTATGAAATGGACTAGAAATAATGAAATGAGAAAAAAATGAAATAGTGTTTTTCGACTTTTTCTTATATTATAAAATGGAACTCCATATTGTTCCTGACTTGCCACTTGTCAGACTTATTTTACAATACAAAATGGTGATTAGAATATTATTGCTTTTGAATAACTTAAGTTGAAAGATCGCTGATGAATTTTCTCTCAACATTACAATAAGGGCCTAATACTGAAATGTTTATGTTTAGAAATAATGTGAGTGGCAAGAATTTTCTGGCAAATTCATTTCCTGTCTTTCATTTTTTTTCAATGGTCTACACATTTGCAAGTTTACAATTATTAAAAAAAAAATTTAAAAAAAAAATTGAGAAATATTTTAAAGATTTTGAGCATTTATCTTGAAAGGTCATTATGCTAGTCATGTTTACATGTCACCCACCTGGCATTAAAGATCAAATCAAGAGTTTCAATAACTCTTCGATTAATTCATTACGGTATACACATCCAATCAAACTTTAACCTCCTAGCATTTGATTTTTTGTTGATTGTGACTTTGTTGTAAATCATTATAACCAAAACTAAGACAACTCCAGCTAATTTCTCACATTTAAAAAAACAGGAACAAGAAAGAAATAATAAACATGTCTCAATAGGGTACTATATAGAGATGGCACAGGAAGGTTTTGAAATTTTAAAAACAAAACCATGAAAAACATTAATTGTGATTAGATTCAGTTCCAACCTCAAAATAATTGTTATATTTATAAAATTGTATAAGGTGTTTATAGGAATACGGAAAGACAGGACATAATAATGCCTAATAATAGACGCTCATGGTCAAGACCATTCCAGTGCAATATCTATCAATAGAAGAATTTTATCTGAATGGTGGACTGGTGGTCCCATTTCAAGGGAAATAACTCCTACAGCATAATCATAAAACTGAGCTCCCCAGTGGTTTAAAATCGAGTATTAATCAAGTACTGAGTAACAAATTTAAATAATTAAAACTACATGTTGGCCGACAATTCATTTTTTTTTTAATTATTAATTTTTTTATTAAAGTTTTTTTTTTTTTTGCATAATAAGATGGTAATTGATATACAAGTTGAGCACACAAAGAGAAAAGCTAATTAATGATTTTTGAAGTATTGTTACCATAATTCACTATCCAAAATTTCCTAAATGTCATAATTATGTATTCACTGATAATCGGACACATGACACTAATTTTAATTATATGCTGCCCTTCATTAGTCCCATAGTAGCACAAGGCAGCTAAAAACAAAAAGCTAAAATTTGGTCCACAACTAGGCACAAAGCAAAATAATTAAAAATATTTTTTTTTCTTTTTAAAGTAAAAAGAAACATATTACAGTCTTGAAGAAAACAGTACAAGTAAATCCATTCCTTTAGAAAATATCAATTTAATTTGATCCAATATGCTTAATCCATTCTTTCAATTTATTAATCCAATGCTCAGAGTGACGGAACACTGGGCCAACACCCATTTTTAACATATATATTCTTTTCCATTAGCGATTTTTTTTTTTGAATGGTTGAACACATGGTGTATGATGTAGAATGGAGATTATGTGTTGGTCTATGCAACTGATCATTTCACTAGCTATTTCTTTTCTTTCTCCATTGTGGTTTTAAAAGTGTCTTATAAACGTACCACCCAACAATATTGCACAAATTATATATAACATATAACTCCAACCAGCGTATTACATATTGGTGTCTAAGACTGAATGTTTTGAATTCCTCATCTCTTCACCGGGCTCATAAGCGTTGAGGGCAGCAAACCGGTTGTCTGTTAGATGGGTAATGTTTGCTGTTATGGAAATTAGGAAATGAATCTGAAAGAAAAGAAGACAGATTAGGAAAAAATTGGAATCGCTTTTCAAGAATTCAAGACGTGAAAGTTGCTTTAAGTCAATATATCCAATCTGTTAGGTCGTCAAACCATGGACCGTGTATATACGGTCCATGGTCAAACATAATTGAATGGAAATAAAATGAAATGCTCCAACTGGCCTATGTCATTCAGTGTGCCTTGAGGGGATTTTACCAAGTGGCATGTTCTTTTAATCTGTGTCTTAATTCCACCTTACAAGGATTCTTTTATGTACACGCAATAACTTTTGTCACTATGGCATTCACCGAAGTCTAAGAAATCAAGTGAAATAATTGGTTTTGTGTCTTAAAAGTAATTAATAAAAATTGTTGAAATTTCCAGGTTTCTTGGTCTTTATAAACTGAATCATGCATTTATAACGGTCAAGCAGATCATATGAAACCTTTCTACCTGAACATTTTAATGATTCTACAAAGTAAGCAAGGGCAACAACTTTAGAAGTAATGAACAAGTAAATTTTTGATAATCACTAATCTGGACAATGCTGTAATGCATATAAATTTCTAACAGATTGGATGATAGCTTTTGTCTCTAAATATGTTCACAAAATCCTACAATCTGATTGTAAGCTATTATCAGAAATCACTGAAATTCTATAGGCTTCTCTGTCTCACCAATGTAAATAGAGAGAGAGAAATGGGACTCAACACTAACCAGGTTGTTTTTTGAACTCTCAATGTAAACAACCTATATAGAATTTAGATCTGAAAATAAGTCTAGTAAGGAGAGTGCTGTAAAAAAAACTGTGGATGACCGAAGTGACAACAATATACATCCACATTTCAAAGTTGACATATAAAAAGGAACTTTTTGTAGTTTGAAATTATTGCAAATAAAATTGCAAAAAAAAAAATCCTTTAATGCTATTACAGTCATTATGTGGTATATGTCAGATACAACTTAACAAAATATTCCATGTATTACCTAAAGACAGTAATAACACAATGTAGTGTTTAATGGAAGACTATTATTGATTATAAACTTGGAATATTGCCAGGCATCGGTTTATATATAGCGCCACTTGATCACTGTCTATGTTTATGGTGAGCTAGACAGTTTCTAATGTCCAACAAAAGATTTAAATTAGAGCAACAAACAATTGCAACATTCAGCAACCCATTGGAATTTAATGAATTTTATATTCAATGAATTCTAAACTTAATGAAATAATTGAGAATCGCCTAATACTAAAATCCTTGAGGGTGTAGCCATATTATTTATTTTAATGAACAACATAAATATTACTTACCATGCTAATGACTTTTATATTCAATGAATTTTAAATTTAATGATACATCTGAGAATCGCGTCACACTAACAAACTTGAGATAAAGTGATAATATTTATTTTAATAATCAATATTACTTACCATGCTAATGACTACTAGTAACGAAGAGACGTACGCACAGCTATAACAAATAAGGACGTCTTTAGCCTGATAAAACAAAATAATATAATTGATTAGAACAAATTAAGAAATTTATGACTTACAGAGATATTATAAAACTTTTGTCACTGAAATATCCGACATATTCAGTTATTATTAGTACTTTATGCATGATTTTTAATGCCAAAATACTGAGGGCCAATTTGCAGATATGGGGAATTGAATTATATTTTCATACTCTATCAGAAAAACCCACAGATTTCATCTCCATATCTGACGAAATTAGACCTGATTAGAAAATTGCTGATAACTAATGGATTCTACCTACCTGCATCATGAACTCATCAAGTGTTTCACCATCAAGGTGTCTGTCTTCAAAGCCTTAAAAACATTTAGAAAAATCAAATTAAGGTAACAAAATCAATATAGCTCTTGCTTCAGTCTTGACTGACTGGCAGGAGAACTTAAAAAAAAGTCAAGTCAATTCATGCCATAAAATTAGAATTTCCAAGAATTTAACCCTAAAACACAATAGATAAAGTGTAAAAACACTTAAAAATAAAGAGAGAAATTGAAATAATCTGAAAATTACCATATTGTTTAGAAAAGATTTCTTGCTGATTGGAGTTAAGCACAATATGTCACAAGTATACAATGGTTAGCCACAGAAATCTAGTGCTGTTAGTGCACACAACTCAATTCTTAATGCATGGCTGTCACTTATAAACACGAGCTTTTCAGTCATAACCAAAGAACAAATATAAATTCTCTTGCTAGATTGACACTTGTCACAGTCGTCACAAAGATATAAGATAGGATGAAAAAAAAACCTACTCCTTTTTTCAGCATACTAAAGATTTAAACTCTTCCCAATGATTTTAAGATGGAACATGTGATAAAAAAAATATATATATTACCATAATATTTGAGGTTGAGACTAGTGAGGCCATCATACTCTGTTACATAGTACAAGATACCCAACATGACAAGAGGAATGAATAACAAAGCAGATGCCAGAATCCAACAAACAGTCAGAAAATATACAAATGACAGGAACTGAAATAGAAATATTACAATATATATTAACTTATAATTCAAGACTAATATTTAGATCAATATAGTATCAAGAAGAATCCCTCTTTCATTATCGATATTCTTCGAAAAAACCTGGGGTCAATTTTTTATATTTTTCTAAATCGAGAAGTACAGTTGGGCGATATTCAAGCATAAAAAGAAATCCCATCCAACCCATCCAACTCAACTAGTTGAGTTCACCTACCACCATTGATTGTTGATGTACTTTCTAACTATCCCATTGCATCATAATCCCCTCTCATCACAAATATAATAGCAACAAGGTAGGTAACAGTGGAAGTGTTTAGTAAAAACACCTGCAAGTTTTGGTCAATTCCTATTTCTAGATATTTATAAGAAGCAAGTGTTGATAGTTTATACAGTTTTACACTGTATTATTTGTCTGCCAGTTATATTTCTGTTTTAAAAGGCACAATTAATTGCTGCAGAGTGGTGATGAACAACAAATAAACCCTTAAAGATACATTATGGGAGATTAGATAAAGAGCTGGCATTTCTCAGTATAATAGTTAAAAACTAGATAATGTAAAGCGAATTTGCTGATAATTTCAGTCAAATTGATACACTCTGAACCAAGATTTTAGCGATTGAATTTTCGGCCAAGCCCCGATCATCATTACTTAAGTCGGTGCGATATAAAACCTAAGTCTTGATTATCCATTTCATGATTAAATCATGAATGCAAGTCGAACAGCAAATCGGAACCTAATCCAATAAACATGTCAGGCTTGCGATGACATCGAGAGTTGATTATGGTCTGGATAAGTTAATTAATGTATAATTAATAATTTAGATAACATCTCAGGCCTAAAGAAAGACCTGCAATAGGCAGATTTAGCTCTTGCATAATGTATGTTTAATAAGGCTTTATCTATCAGACATCTAGAGCCACGTTTCCTGAGAATGAAGGGTTGCTTTAGACAGCTTTATTATTAACACATTCACTTGAGACATCTTTGTCCTAGTATGGGACATGAAATGTACATAAACTAGAAATTGAACCTTATTGTCTAATCCTTAGTCATTTATAAAAGAAACACAAATTTATTGATGTCTAAACAAAGCTGCAGACAATACTTACTCCCATGTTGAGACCACGAGCACATCTGTTTTTACTGGAGGAGTTAAAAACACGGCGACTGGTAGGTTCCGAGGAGATGTGACCAATGATCAGAAACACTGTTCCCAATACAAACATGGACACGATCACTCCAATTAAAGTAAAGTCCATAAACCATAGTCTAAAAATAGAATAAATTACAATAAGATTAAAGGTAATAAGTTTACTGGGGTAGTTAAGAGACAGAGACATTTGTGGGTTGGTAAACCATTAATTTTGTATCTGAAGTGATTTGACTGCACAGTTACATTGGACATTGCCCAGTTCAAATCAGATTGCATGTAAAATCCTAGAAAAATCTGTATATGCCTGTTCATACAAAAATTCTTTTTCACTTTGATGTCATGTGATAATTAGATTGTATGAGAATGAGATAGAAGTGGTGGACATCCAGGATTTTACTGTCCAACATGTGTCAATATCAAAAGGAACTAAGATCTTTGGGATATAAACATGTATTTTAAGTTTATCAAAACTGGATCCGAGATCATTGGGTTATAAACATACATTTTGAGTTTCATCAAAATCGGATAAAAGTGTCCACAAGCTAAAAACGTGATTTTTTTTAAAATCAGGGGCCATAATCCATGAAGTAACAGTCCACAATCTTGGTATTACATACTTTTACACTATTTGCATTCAGGGAGCGTTCACTTTGTCTGGAGCAACGGTGATATCTTTGAACGGCTTTTAAAATCGGATAAAAATTGTGACCTCTAGAATGTCCAAAAGCTAAAAAATGATTTTTCTTAACTCAGGGGCCATAATCCAGGAAGTTACGGTCCCATATGTGCCAATATCGAAAGGAACCAAGTTCTTTGGTTTATAAACATACATTTCAAGTTTGATCAAAATTGTATAAAAATTGTGACCTTACAAAAAAAACCATGATGTTTTTTCGTACAATCAGGGGCCATAATCCATGAAGTTACAATCCGATACATGCCAATATCGAAAGGAACCAAGATCTTTGAGAAATAAACCTATATTTCAAGTTTTGTCCAAATTAAATAAAACTTGTGACCTGTAGTGTCCACAAAATTGCCACACCATCATTGATATATCTTCTGAAGAGAGGTACAAATCTTTTAATGGTTTCCAATGATTTTAATGCACACTCATGAAAAACAACTTACTCTAAGTACTTCAAAGTATTTGACAATTAGACGAGTCTAAGGTTAGTTTCAATATATTTTTACAAATACAGGGTGACACAAAAAAAACTTTCATCAATAAAAATCGAATAACTTCCAAAATTTTATTTAGATTAACACAAAATTTCAGCTACATTAGGTTAAGTCTATGTAGCAGACATCTCCAAAGTTTCAAGTCTGTACCACAAAAACTCTTTGTTTAACTGGCGCTTAAAAAATGTGCTCTAAATGAGGTCCCTGGTGCTGCAAGCACATTTGGATCCGGCGGGCAAAGTTCTCAATGACCCTCCCACATTCTTCCCTTGGGATTGCTTTTATTGCTGCTGTGATTGTGATTGCTGCCTTCAGATCAGGGATAGTCTGGGGGTTGTTGCCATACACCCTGTCCTTAAGGTATCCCCACAGATAAAAATCTAGGGTGTTCAAGTCCGGTGAATGCGGCGACCACTCCGGGTCACACCTGCGGCTGATCAGTCGGTCAGGGAAACGCTGCTGTAGCCATGCCAATGATTCGTTTGAGGTGTGGGGGTGGCACCATCCTGCTGGAACCACTGGAGGTCCCTGATGACCCCTCTTCGTCAACCAAGTTTAGGTGATGAATGCTTTTTTTGTGTCACCCGGTATGTTTGGAAACTAATTTGAATATTTTTCATTACAAACAAGTGTTATTAACAATTTCTGTGTTGGACAATTAAAATAGAGAGAGAGAGAGAAATGGGGTTTAATGTCCACTCGACACAAACTAGGTCATTTCGGGACTAACATATGGTTTAATTTTATTTCAATAATTTGCTTGCGCGTATGGGTCTTTAGCAGTGGGAGGAAACCGGAGGATCCGGAAAAAAAACCACTAGGTTGGACAGGCGACCCAACTCCTTGTCACGTACAACCGGGGATTCGAAACCATGCCAGTTGACTCAATGACAGGCTTTATGATACAGCATGCATGTGCTAACCATTCGGCCATCCACCCCCCCGACAATTAAAATAAGTAGCTACTTACAACGGTTGGTTATTCAGAAGATCACGTGTTTTGCGCGACCCAATGAGAAGACTTCCTGTTAATCCACCTAATCCCAACAACAAGATAATCCATGCGATCAGAGAGGCACAAGGCACGTGAGACAAGCATTTTAGAAACCGCTCACAGCAATTTGGATTTCGTGCTGAAAAGATAAAAAAAAAACAACATTAATATTTAATATGACAAATATCTTATGCTGAATACAAACAGAAATTTAAATATATACGAGACAAGCATTTCACAAAAATAAATATATCAAGTGGAAGTGATGTTAGAAAAACATAAACTATTATTTGAATTGATCTGTTATTTTCATAACACATTTGTTTTGAGATACGATCACATTTATATCAAATAGAAATTCACAACCTAAAGCAGAATAATTACGGCCAGTATCTTACGGAAGAAAAATGAGTTTATACGGTGCTAAGTTTGTGTAAATTAAATTATGAAGTGATCAGCCCCATTCTCAAGACAAATGGAAATTTTACAGTTCTAGCCCCAGGGGCATTTTACACCAACCAAAAAATATAGGTAAATAAATCTACTAAGTTACAGCTCTGTTCAGGAACGAAGCCTACCAATATTTTATATAATGTCATAATTTTACCTTGTTAAAACAAGAGATAGTTACTCCCAAACCCTAGATGAGAGATAATTAATGCAAAGCAACTTAAAACTATCCAGGTATAAAGTTTCATCAACTGGTCTCTATGTAGGTAATTGATATAAACTATATAAAACAGGAACTGTGATAGTTAATGATAAAATAAACAGGAGTAATTGTAAACTATATTGTGTTTATATATTGTAATTGGTTAAGCATGTCCATATGATGTACATCAGGCCTTGTGGAATTTAGTCTGCCGGGGTATTTCAGCAATTTAGCCCTTGGCGGTTGACAAAAGTTTTTATTTGTTTTATTGGAATGTCTTCAGTTTATTGGAATCTTGTTACATCACCCTTTGTGGAATTTAGTCTGCCCGGGTATCTCAGTAATTCAGCCATTTGTGGTTGACAAAAGTTTTTATTTGTTTTATTGGAATATCTTCGTTTTTTTCGAACCATGTTATTTTACGGAATACCAGGTTTTCAGAAATGCATTGTCCGATCGATCAGTTTTAGCACATAGATAGAAAAGCACTGAATGTTTTATTGTAACAAACAGAAAACAACATTGGCAACAATGCATTTACAGGAAACTGAATAACGACTCTATTCACACAGAATGACTACAGATTGCTTTGGGCATTTCTGTGGTTGCCGATTTATATCATACATCAATTTCGAAGAGTTGTTACGAGAGGAAACCTTTTAATTGCTTTTTTAAAGCACACCAAAGTGTGGTAAGATCTCTGTGTGATGATTTCCATCATGGATTTTTATTCTGGTTAATACAAGATCAATTAGGAGAATCCTCTCAGAACAGACTTCAGATGTTTAATTGATACATTAATAGTAATTAATGGTTATAGACACATAGATCAAACACAGAACCACACAAAATGCAATGCCTAATAATAATGAATAAAAATTGTTACACCTAGGACAATATTTGGATACTCATGCCAAATGCCGCTGAATTCGCACTTGTTTCGACCAAACGGTTGGGAGCGCATGCATCATATGAATCATCACTACAACTTGCCTGTGATTGTCAAATTATACTGCTAGAAGTTTTGGTCTAGTCCCTATAGTAATGAGTTAATGGTCTGGCATGTTAATTGTTATGTTTCGAACATTTGTTTTAACCAGAATTACTACTCGGCTCTCCATAATTTACCATAATGTAGGGGTATATTAATATGGTTACACTAGAGATTTCTATTCTCTTCGTTGTCAATAAACCTTTTCGAGCTCTAGATTTCAAATGATCATTGTTCTATAACTATTAAAAGTTGCAGTTTTCGACAAATGATCATAAGGGAGAAACAAAAACAAATATAAATCAATTCACTTCATGCTATCTTCTATCAAATGTTCTGGACCACTAATTATGCAAAGATTGGACACATTAACCTGGAAATTAACAAAGCGTTATGTTCTCTCTTGGAAATCACACCACAAAAGATAATCATGTTTATGCCAGAGGCATTTTTGTGAATCACTGAATGGCTTTCAATTAAGTTATCATACCATATTTATGGCATCCACACAACTAAACCTAAATCTAATTGTATTTTCAGAAAATTGAGAAGCCAAATGCTAACTTACTCGGGCATGTAGTACCAGAACCATGCAAGCTACCTAAAATTTGATCTTTGTTTAACTCTGGTTTTAATTTTGGTTGACCCAGACTATACATGGAATTCTTACTACCAATGAAAGTACCAACTTATGAATTATCTGTTCTCTTAATTTGATTGGTTAAACTTGTTCTTTCTTATTTGAAAACCTCAAATCAATGGCTAGATGAAAGATCAGGTCAGATCAATTGAAAACAAACTTCTGAAAGACTAATCTCACAGTCTAATCTTAAGTAGCCTGGAGAATCACCATAAACATTTAACAGAGGGTACATTGGCAACAGAGAAGCTGAATCATTTTGTCGGATACAGTTTTCTTATATAGATAAGATGGAGTAAAACCATATTCATATGGTTGTGTGTTTGAGGCCCAAATAGTATTCTTCTGGGAACTTTTATTAACGTACAAATTAATTAAGTCTGAAATTAATTGATTCTTTGTGTAGTTTCCATCAATGATAACCACTGACGAACTGCAGCTACCAATTCATAAAACATACAAAAATGGCTCCAAATTATTTATCAACTAATCTTCTAACTTGGTATTCATGCCTTTTTTTATATCTAGTTTGAAGTCTTTCTGTGTGTATTGATCGATTGTCGTTCTATTACTTGCTGGGCCAATTGGCACTCCTCATGACATTAGCCTGTGTTGGAATTCCAATAATAAGCTTAACGTCAGTAGTCTATTTATACTCCCAACTTCTCTCTACTGCCATGAATAAAGAACTTCACCCGGATTGACACATATTTACCAAAGAGAAATATACTTCTCCAACTGTATAAGAATAAAAGTAATCATGCAAAGAATTTGAAGTTCTATGGTGTCTTGTAGCCGTCAATATGGCACCATTTTAGCTCTTTATCTCACCATGAGGTTCATTGATATTGCCAAACACTGCATGCAATGAATCGTTTGTTAGTGTTTTTAATACATATTATTTGATGCCTCCACGTATAATTGACTTGGCTGACCATATCTAAATCTACCAAGATATCCTAATCCATTTACTATAACATACAACAATGTTCTTCTTGAGGATTGACCGATCTTAAAGTCTCATTACTACCATTTCTCTTCACAATCCCCGGCCTGGATGTTCCAAGACAAAAGAGATATTATTGTATATAAGGCGTCACAGGATCATAATTTAATCTTGATAAAGGGTATTGCACCCGAAAACGTCAACCCATTAAACAATCTTCTACTTCTACAAGTCTGTTGTGTATTCTGTTGAGGGGGGGTTCTTTAATTTTATTTTACTACTCCGCCCCACCGGTATCATCTTTTGATCCAGTCTCCACGCAGATGTATCAGCCTGTCCAGCTTTAATTACGCTCTAAGGGAGTGTTGCCGTACCCTTTTCCTGTTTTCAGACATTAAAATGGTGCAAAAGTTTTGGCAATTCAACAAACAGAACCGAAACACCGCACAACATAAAACTTGAAGCATAATTTTTACACTTCTGTACAATGTTATCACACAATTTAGCTTGAAGAAATTGTTATTAGATAAACTTACAAAAAAAGAAGTATAATTATCCAAATTTAACACTGGACATTCCCCCAACTGACATATATTGGCTTATAAGCCTGTCACGTCCCCCACCAATTTTTTTTTTATTTTTGGGGATAAATTTTTATGCTATAAATTCTACTAATCCAGTTAACAGGTTAATATAAAAGAAAACAAAGTCTGTATATGACAATAAAATTCAATTCAATTTCTTCAAATACTACCAGATACTTTTCTTTACACATAACAGCAAAACAGATTGAGTTGAACATCCACATCAAATACCATTACACAGCACTTACTAGTTCTCTAATCGATTGAAATATTTCTTAAATGAAAAGTGGCATATCTCAGAAGTCTCGAGTCGAAAGTGATTTCAGTTGGTGAGGATGATTAACTGTTCATCTGCCGTGGGGTTACAAAATGGCCAGTTATTACATAAACTATTATGAAAAATAACATAACGTAATTACTTGTTAACCCATCAAGCCAACCTTGCACAAAAATAATATTTACACAAGACTTAACTCAATTATTATGTCTAATATTTATAAAAAATTTATTTTCGAGGAATTCACCAAATATTTACACTCATTTCCAGAACCTGCTACGGAATAATACAAGGTCTATTGCTATTCACAGCATGCTTTTCAGTACTTCTTATCTATGAAGTCTTATTTATCCAAACTAGAAGAAGTTATTTTCTCTAGTAATTTTTAAAGGATGTAAGAGGATGTTAAATCAAAGCAATCAAGCTACAACATTTTTTAACAATCTGAAGAAATGTGATATTTACACATCATTATTTATATAATGGTATATTTCTCATATAAATGGATGATTGTAAATCGTCAACCAAGGCCTAGATGGCAACATGTCAGAATACTTTGACAAGATGGCCATATTCTCTGGCAACATCTGCAGGATTGCATTCTGCCTGCTTCCTAGTGGGTTTATCAGTGCTGACACTGTATGTCACCTACTAGACTCTGTTAAATGGCGTACCAGATGTTGTGCCAAACATGGTACTGCTACACCTGATACCATTTCTAATTTGTTTGAAATAAATACAAAACTAACAATTAAATGTATTTTCTTCATCTACAGATTTTTTAAAAGCAGATAGTATTTTAGCAAACAATGATGACGAAACAATATGGATAATATGACATTAAACAACAAAAGTGCTTGAAATGTTACATTGTTTTTTAGTCAACTTCAAGTCCATAAACAATAATTACCAGTAGGTATTATCAGTTGAATATCCTTCATTATTCTACACGATTTATGGTTTCATCAAGTTGAAAAAGTTGAACAAGTTAAAGGCTCAATACCACTCTTGATGTAACTGAATAATATGTCCCAATATTTATTCTGGTC